GCTTTCTACATTATAAAGTTGTCTCCATGATGGATGCAATTTTTTGTTATTTGAAGCCCCACCCTGGCTTCTGCTGGGGGCCCTGAATATAGCCGGGGCATAGATATGGCCTAGCCATAGTTATGGCCTTACATCTGAAAGGGGTTTCTGGGACCTCTCCACTGGTGATCCTCATCCGCATGGTGGCACTTTGTGTTACCGGGTGTTTCTCGCTTGTGTGATGACCTGGTTGGTACCCAGGAACAGAACTACCTGTTTGCTTTCGTTTGTTGCTGCAATGGGTCTAGCCACATGGACTGGGTCGACCATAAACTGAACACACGTGAAAAACCCACCGACAAAAGCCAAAATAAAAAAAAAAAAAAACCCAAACCGGCCACTCGGTTCCTTGTTTTGTCTGAATTACTGAGGTAACATTTTTCGGGTACTCGGGAGGCCAGCCTAGTTCTTAGCGGAGGGTCTCAGGTCTCTTCAACCAGTAGGTAGGAGAGCTAAGTGACTCCCCTTTATTCATATATATCAATTCTCTTTGAATGTATTTGTTTAGACATTTCGGTCCTTTTTACGTTTGCAGGCCCAACTACAGACTGGCTGACCTTTTTTTCACTCATGGTTGCTCAGGCTGGTCAACATCACGTTGTTCTGTTTTCTTCAAAACTATCTCTTGCATTACCTAGGCTGAGACTGTGGTTATGGAGGTTTGGGCTAAGGCCAGTTTGAGATATTCTGGGGTCGTTGAAAGATGTGTCGCTGTGAAGTATAGAACACGTGACATCTATGCTGACGTAACTGGAGACAAGACAGAGTGAAACCCCTCTGACGTAGACCACCATTACAAAACATGCATTAAAGCCCAAATACGCTGTAGGCCAGGAAATGTAAATAGGACCTACATTTCATATTATTTTAAATGTAATTTATTAATAATATGCCAGTAAGAAATTAACAATTATTGCTATTATGATAATGCTCTTAGACTAGGATTTCTTCCATTAAATCTGCACATAAATTCTCTGGTTACAGACATGGTTTTCTTTGCGACTGTCTATTGTAACAGCTAAGATGCCACTCAATTCATCGATGTGGTTGTCGAGTGAGCTCATCGTGAACACACATGAACTTTGCTTATCCCAAATCATTTATTAGTTCTCCTCGTGTGAGGTCCCATTGTGAAGAAAACAAGAATAGACCTACAACCTCCCCAACTAACATGCTGTAGGAGTCAAATAATTGGGGACTTTCTTCGAAGTCAGAGTGCATCTGCCCGAGCGGCTAGGAATCGACAATCTGCATACAAATATGTCAGATCTGTAAAACGGATGTACACGCCATACTCAGGTTCAGGAACAAGACTAAAGTTCATAAGTGGATGAACAAGCAGAACTTGAGTTTACAGCTGGTAAACGCGAAGATGAAGAAAAAAACAAACTTATTCGTCCATGCATAAAAAATACAGTTTAAGCTACTTCTCTGAGCCCTTCAATCAGCGTTTTGACCTTTTGACTAGAATTTGTGCTGTACTAGGAATCTGCACTCTACAGCTTCTGCCAAATTATAGAGGCACCGTAATATTGTGTAGTATAGCAAGATTGTCACAGTATGACCTGTTGGATGTCACGACCCATCCAAGACTAGTCTTTGTTCTTTATTTTCTTTTTTTTTCTTTCATTTTTATGATGTCTGTAATTCCGAAATATCCGCTTGGATTCCCACTCGAAACAATTTGGCACCAGGCCGCTTTGTATTGATTTCGACAGCTGTTTTGAGAACACAACATGACACCCCTGTAACTTAGACTAAGCCTGCCGCGTGTGAAAGGTCACCAAGCATGCATGAAATGCCAACCACGGTTTGTTTGGGGCAACAACAAAAAAAGTTACTAGTACCAAATATTCATTTGAAAAAAAAAAAAAAATTTAAACCAACAAGATCCAGACGGATATTTCATTTCGACCGACAACTTGATTTAGTGGAATGTAAATCAGACGCTTCATTTCGGCCGAGAACTTGATTTAGTTGAATGTACAAGGTTGAGCCAAAATTATTTTAAAATCAATGGGATATTGTCGGAAAATGATTTATTTATTATTTCTTTAAAAAAAAAAAAAAAAAGTTAGATGAAGTTCAAATAACTATTGATTCACACTCGTGTTTATTTATATTTCCGGCAAAATTCTTTGAGAATCTGTTTTATATTTTTCCACTTCGATTTAAACAACTTTTTTTTTTTTAAACACACGAAATAATTGGCAATGATACATCAGTTAGAAGTGGTATTTAGCTTGTCCAGATTTAAATGTCTCTTGTCAACTAAAACCTATTTACCAGTCAACGTAGACTAAGGACAACCTTTACTAAACGAATAAATCGTTTTCCATTCTTTCATAATTTAATGTGTGCGCTTGGCCATTGATAGTCGCGGGGTGCGGCGGCTAGACTCAAGATTGCGGATCGGAACTGCGAGGGTTCGAGTCTTAACAAAAGCTGGCTTTTTTAAAAAAAAATGACCTTGGTTCCCATGTCGACCCAGCCTTGAGTGGGTACCAGGTGCAGTCCTGGGAAATAACGGCGGCCAGCGTGATGCTGACCACATCTCCCACCATGTGTCGATTGGTCTATAAAATATAGGTCTAGCCCTATATACCCAATATGTCTGAAGGAGGGGGAAAAGGAATCTTTACTTACTTAGCCACTGATAACTAGCGTTCTATGTGTTTGTGTGGACAATTACGTGATCACTGCGGGTTTAACTTTTACATCACACAATAGGTGAAACATGTTCCTATTGAAGTTTCAAGATTAGATTTTTCTGTTTTTATTTTAATACCCAGTCACGCATTCGCTCACTCCTCACGCACTCATTTACGCGCATACGTACTACATGCCCACTCATCCATACGGATACATGCACTCTAATATATACCCGCAGACAGACAGACAGACAGACAGACAGACAGACAGACAGACAGACAGACAGACAGACAGACAGACAGACAGACAGACAGACAGACAGACAGACAGACAGACAGACAGACAGACAGACAGACAGACAGACAGACAGACAGACAGACAGACAGACAGACAGACAGACAGACAGACAGACAGACAGACAGACAGACAGACAGACAGACAGACAGACAGACAGACAGACAGACAGACAGACAGACAGACAGACAGACAGACAGACAGACAGACAGACAGACAGACAGACAGACAGACAGACAGGACAGACAGACAGACAGACAGACAGACAGACAGACAGACAGACAGACAGACAGACAGACAGACAGACAGACAGACAGACAGACAGACAGACAGACAGACAGACAGACAGACAGACAGACAGACAGACAGACAGACAGACAGACAGACAGACAGACAGACAGACAGACAGACAGACAGACAGACAGACAGACAGACAGACAGACAAAGAGGGGGGGGGAGGGAGTCAAAGTATCAACTGAATAAGAACTGCAAGAGTTCAGTTAATGTGATGCAGGTTGTTAAGGCCCCAGTAATTTGTATTTTGTGAACCGCTGTAGCATAGTGGCTAGACGCTTGCTTGCGTGCGTAGAAAACTTGGGTTCAAATCTGTATCAGATTAGTTTGTTTTCCTTTCTAAACTGACAATGTCTCCAGGTCTAATCAGTCATCAATGGTTACTAGGTTGTGTTGTGGGCAGTACTGCAATAGGTTCTAAATGGACAAATGTGGCATGAGTGGACACCTAGCATTAGAAGATCAGTATTGCAGGGACTAACGTGGATAAAGTGTCTGGGCAATCAGGAGTGCGAGAAAATGAACGAGCCGATGGACTGGCTATAAAAGCGATAGATATGAACATCGTACTGGACGAAGTTGACATTCTGAAGATTATATATGAACAAATGCTGATATAAGACACGAGGTTAGATGAAATAACGCGTGTAAGAATTGATGAACGGGGAATTCGGTGAGGATCGGGCAAGGAAGAACGTATGAGAGGAAGAAAACGAGGTCTTTACAAGCTACGGTCACACTTGGCTTTTACTCCTTAAACTTGAGGTTCTCAGCCTTCCTAATGCCGTGACCTTTCAATACAGTGACCCCCACTCTTACAATTATTTTCAATGCTAAGTCATAACTGTAATTATGCAACTATTGTGGATCGTAATATAAGTATCTGTTGTACATAGTGCATGTTCATTGTTATAAATTGAACCTAACTAAAGCATAGTGATTAAACACTAAAATCATATGTAATTATAAACTGTAAAATATTTATTTCTGACTACAAATAAACGAAATTGTGTCTGGAGACATGATGTAGCATGGGTAACAGTCTTCATATAAAGCCGTAAATTTATATTTCAACATTGTGCGACGGTACTTTAATGTTCTAATAATCTCAACTTTTGTTGAAAGTATAAAAACATTTGACAGCAAAGAGACGTTTACAGGGGTATATAAAAGTAAAGGAGCCTTTTCCACGCCTTTAGGCATATAGGGCATATAGGGCTAGACCTATATTTTATAGACCAATCGGCACAAGATGGGTGATGTGGTCAGCATCACGCCGGTTGCCTTTACCTCCCAGGACCTCTTTGATACGTCCGTCGTCCAGAGAAGCACATCCACAGAACTAGCTAATGACAGCAGTTATAATAGTATTGGCAAAAGCTGTAGAAGCATTGTTATCATCTGTAGCTATGGTGTGGTAGGGTTAATGAAGTTAATATTATATTCTATATCTTCAACACAGGTAAATTGCGGTGCTCTGCCTCGACCAGTGAGCACATAATGGTTTCCTGATTGAAACGGCCTTTTTCAGCACTTGGTGCGTCAAGCACTTAGTGTGGCCAAATACTTAGAAATCCATCACTTAGTGCGCCAGCACTTAGCGATCCTCTTCTTGTACCTACAACCAGCTATGCTACTTCACTCACAACTCTTCACAGCAAAGGTTATAGGTTACCAGTAATGGTCTTCAGATAGAATCCAGCGGACACCACAGCATCGCTATGGAACACAGCAACCCCGCAGACCATCAGTCTAGTGCTGTCAGCGTCGCCGAACAGGCCGCGGTTATTATTATTGAAAACATCAACAACAACAGCAGCATTGTTAGCGATAGCAGCTTCTACATCAATGGGACCATCAGCTCTACCACAGTCAATGCCAACTTGAGCTTCGCCGAATCTTACGATGTACCGACTGGTCTGATATGTCTGCTGGCCTTTCTGTATGGGTCCATCTCACTGCTGGCTGTCATCGGTAATGGGCTTGTTATCTTAGTGATTGTGAAGAATGGTCGCATGCACACAGTGACGAACATATTCATAGCCAATCTGGCGGTTGCTGATGTCATTATTGGCTTGTTTTCCATACCGTTCCAGGTGAGTACTTTTGATAATGTGTTGCCCGTTTTTCTCCTCATGTGTTATTTGTCTTGTATGTCTGTGAGTGCTTTTGATGATATGTTGGCCGTTTTTCTCCTCATGTGTTATTTGTCTTGTCTGTCTGTGAATGCTTTTGATAAGATATTGCGTGTTTATTACCCGCAGGTGTTATTTGTCTTGTCTGTCTATATATCAGCCTTTGAAAAGATGTTGCACTGTTTTCAGCAGTTGTCATTTTTCTTGTCTGTCTACATGTCAGCCTTGTCTGTTTGCATGTCGTGTTGCTGCATGTATGTCCGTTGGTGTGCTTTTCGTATTTCCGTATGTTAATGTTTGTTTGGCGCTTTCTCCCCTTCAGTTTAGGTCCATTTCTATCTGCCTGCATGTCTGCAGGTCTGTCTGCCTGCGTCTCTGTCTGTACGTTAGTCTATCATGTCGCTGCATATTTACCCATTAGTGTAAGATTATTGTTTGTTTCTGTGTTTTGCCGCCTCTTTCATTTGTATATGAGCTGGCAACTGTTTATTATCTCCTTGGAAAGAATTATAACTGATGCCCTCGAAAAACATCACGAAACAGTTTGTATAGGAGCAAGAGTCGTAATAAACTTAAGGTTTACAGATGGCATCGACGGGTTGGCCGGGGAAGAACAAGATCTAATCGAACTTGTAAACCAGTTTGATGAAACATCGACCAAGTATGGCATGAAAATAAACGTGGTTAAGACTAAAGTAATGACAAATAATCCAGCTGGCATAACTACACCGAAGATCACAAATTAGAACAAGTCAACTTTTTTTTTAAAAACTTTTAGGATTCATTTTTTTGAGTAACCTAGGATCCAGACCAGAAATCATGTCTAGGATTGTATAGACAACATCAGTCCTGGGTCTAGGGTTGTCCAGACAACATCAGTCCTAGATCTAGGGTTGTCAAGACAACATCAGTCCTAGATCTAGGGTTGTCCAGACAACATCAGTCCTAGATCTAGGGTTGTCCAGACAACATCAGTCCTAGATCTAGGGTTGTCCAGACAACATCAGTCCTAGATCTAGGGTTGTCCAGACAACATCAGTCCTGGATCTAGGGTTGTCCAGACAACATCAGTCCTAGATCTAGGGTTGTCCAGACAACATCAGTCCTGGATCTAGGGGTATCCAGACAACATCAGTCCTAGATCTAGGGTTGTCCAGACAACATCAGTCCTGGATCTAGGGGTGTCCAGACAACATCAGTCCTAGATCTAGGGTTGTCCAGACAACATCAGTCCTGGATCTAGGGTTGTCCAGACAACATCAGTCCTGGATCTAGGGTTGTCCAGACAACATCAGTCCTAGATCTAGGGTTGTCTAGACAACATCAGTCCTAGATCTAGGGTTGTCCAGACAACATCAGTCCTGGATCTAGGGTTGTCCAGACAACATCAGTCCTAGATCTAGGGTTGTCCAGACAACATCAGTCCTAGATCTAGGGTTGTCCAGACAACATCAGTCCTATATCTAGGGTTGTCCAGACAACATCAGTCCTAGATCTAGGGTTGTCCAGACAACATCAGTCCTAGATCTAGGGTTGTCCAGACAACATCAGTCCTGGATCTAGGGTTGTCCAGACAACATCAGTCCTTCCCAGACATTAAAAGTTATTTTCAATAAATAAAAAAAAAAGCTTTGACTGTTACGAGAACTAGCTTTTTACTTATTGCCGTGAAATAGGGACCTTCACAGCTAAACTCGAAAAAAAAGATGCGTGCATTGGAAATGAGATCTGTTAGAAAAAAAAAAAAACATTCTGGCATATTATATAGAGATCACATCTCAAATGACGAGATTTGCTGTATAATTATCCAGCACAGCGGCAACTTTGAAGTTCTTTGAAGTACTGCGAGAATTCGGACAATGCACTGAGATGGACATGTACGGACAATGCACTGAGATGGACATGTACGGACAATGCACTGAGATGCACATGTGCGGACAATGCACTGAGATGGACATGTACGGACAATGCACTGAGATGCACATGTACGGACAATGCACTGAGATGGACATGTAATAAGATCTGACGGCCTCTCAAAAACAATACTACAGGGCTCAGCAGAGGGAAAGAGGCAGACCACACACACACCACACACAAAAACCTGGATACAGAACTTGACTGACTGGACAGGCCTTAAGCATACAACCATGGAGTTCATTGCTGTAGGACTGTCAAAGAGGGAGATAACTGATCAGACAGTGAACAATAACTGGCGACCAAGGACATGCATCGTTAGGGGATGATGATGATGAAATTTGTAGTCATGTATTTATGTCTTCTCTGCAAGTCTGTCTGTCTAACCTATTGGTCTAATTCCAGGTGCTTTTGTTATATCCTACCCCAAACAGGGGAAATCAACGGGTCACGGGACAGTCTAATACTTCATGGGGTGGAGGACAGGCTACATGCAGTCGTGGGACCTAGGCTGCATGCAGTCGTGGGACCTAGTCTACACTCTCTCGTGGGACCTAGGCTGCATGCAGTCGTGGGACCTAGTCTGCACTTTCTCGTAGGACCAGGTGGGTTGGGGTTAGGACCAGTTCTAGATGTGTTGGGGTCATTAACAATATCAGAAAACCAGGACACCCAGTCTTACCATCCTCTAAAATGTCGGACTGCCCTGTGATGTCATCTGGGGTAGGATATTAAGAAAGAACCCAATTCCGTTATCCAATGTGCTTGTTTCTGTCTGTATGCAAGTGGTAAACTGTTCAATCTAAAAATGCTTGTATTTCTCTCAGCATTTTTGCCAGTTACGTGCTCTCTTGTTCGTCCACCATTCGCTTGCTTTTATGTTTCTTTCTGTAAGTTGAGGTGTTTGTCATTTTCAAGCCAGTACGTCATCGGATTGATACTTCTATGCCCATTTTGTCTTAACCGATCATTACTCATAGAGTTAGATCGTTAACGTCATGCAGACCGCTTTTACATTTCATATTGTTTCCTGGCATCCCTGTATGAGCTCCGGGATCAATGTTGAGGGGGGGGGGGGGAGGGGTGGGTGGGGGAAGAGATACCTAGCGTCTCCCTTTCAAGCATGTTGTTAAAGAGGACTAATTAGGACAATTTTTTCCTTTGAAGTCGTTCATCTGCGTGAGAATTAAGGAACCAACAGTCTGCATTCAGAAGTATGCAGTCTGTAAAATGCACGCTGACGCAAAATTATAGTTGTGCAACAAGACTTAAGCACAGAAAAGAATAGACAACCAGAACTTTCTGCAAGAGTTAACGACCATTAAACGCGAAGGAGAAGAACATATATTTCCTGACACCCGCATTACGCTGGGTCGACAGGGAAATGCTCGTCTTTTTCATCATCAAGTGTCCTTCCAGCTGGCGTAGGTGTTCATGTATCTGCACAGATCTCGGTCTTTGGTGTTCTGGATCAATTCAGTTGCTAATATTCTTCCCCGCCACTGCCTTAGGCCATCCACCATCGATTCTCTTGGTCTTCCTCCTCAACCAGTGATCTTTCCAGTCGTCACAGTATTGTCCAATATTGTCTTACCCACTTCCAGTGCTCAAATGCCACTACACATAACTGTTCTTCTTTCCAGTTCCAAGCTGCCCTATTGCAACGATGGGTCTTGGCCAATTTTATGTGTTCACTGGCTCCATTCGTGCAAGTCATCAGTGTCAACGTCAGCATCTTCACCCTGAGCGTCATCGCCGTCGACCGCTACATCGCCGTTATTCATCCGTTCAAAGCTGGCTGTTCCAAAAAATCCGCAGCCATCATCATCAGCGTCATCTGGGCTGTCGGAATAGGAATAGCCGTTCCAGTTCAGCGATATTACTGGGTGGATTATATTCAGGAGGGCGACAGCCTGGTTCCCTGGTGCACCGTACATCCGCCGGAGTCTTGGTCGGGATTCAACGACTACTATTCAATGCTGCTTGTGTGTGTTCAGTATCTGCTGCCTCTGGTGATCATTACGTTCTGTTACTCCAGGATTGCCTGGCATATTTGGGGCTCTAGACGCCCGGGTGCTCAGGTCACGTGCGAGGACGTCCGGGGAAGGAACAAGAGAAAGGTAAGTCAAATCGTCTGGTGCTAACGTCGTGAAGCTTTTTTATTGTTGTTGTTGTTGCTATTGTTGTTGTTGTTCTTCTTCTTTTTCTTCTTCTTCTTCTTCTTCTTCTTCTTCTTCTTCTTCTTCTTCTTCTTCTTCTTCTTCTTCTTCTTCTTCTTCTTCTTCTTCTTCTTCTTCTTCTTCTTCTTCTTCTTCTTCTTCTTCTTCTTCTTCTTCTTCTTCTTCTTCTTCTTCTTCTTCTTCGTCATCTTCTTTAGCTCCTTGTCCTTCTTCATTTTCTTGTGTTGATCCTCCTCCTTATTTTCCTTCTGTTACCTCAGAGAAGTTGTGAAAGGAGATTGGGTATTCTTTTTATTTGAGTAATGTTTAAGGTGGCCGTAATTTTCCTAGTGTTGTTTTCTTATTGCTGTAACTCTATAATTTCTATGTTCACGGCTTGTCGTGTGCTATCTTGATTACTTCATAGTGGGTCTGTTGTTATGTTTAGTTACACAGTTTGCACAGTTTGGAAGTCGGTGGCGGATCAGAGGTCCTACTGACACCCAACAAGCACGTCCTAGGAGGCGACTAATTTGGGGTGTTTCCGTTGAAGTCGGAGTGCATCTACCGGGAGGCAATAAACCAACATCCTATTACACATAAGCCGGATATGTAAAATGTATGTATACGAAACCTCAAAGCCGGAGTCCAGAAATGGACATAAAACCAAGACTTTAGCCTGGATTTTGTTGCCGGTGAACGCGAAAGTCAAGTAAGCAAAATTACTGGCTCATTCCCGTCGTACAGTTAAAAATTATTTACACGAATAAAAAGGAGCAGCAAACTCATCAGTTCGTGTTTAATTAACAAAATTCCTGTTAACCAGCGGGAATCAAACAAATGCATTCCTGCTAGGACCATAGATTGTGTTCGTGTTAAGGAGGGGTTGCTGAATTCCTAACACCAGTTTTATTACCTTCAACCTGGGAACCAGATCAATATTATGTGTATATATATATATATATATATATATATATATATATATATATATATATATATATATATATATATATATATATATATATATATGTGTGTGTGTGTGTGTGTGTGTGTCTGTGTTGGCGTCTGTGGCTTAGGCGTTGCGAACGCGCTTACCAATGCCAGGGGGCCTGGTTCGATCCCAGCTGCGCGGCTTGCGTTGGTTTCGACTGTGATATCGAGAAGCCGACCGTAGAGAGGGCAAACTACTGGATTTAAATTTGCCTAGAAAAACCACAACAGTCAAAAAATGCTGGCGTTGTTCAAAATCATTTACACGCGCTCTAAAACACACACGCATGCACCCGCGCACACATATTAAGCTGGCACTATATGGTGAAGTTTTTGAAACGTATTTAACATGATCACCTGAGGCTACTACTGAACCACGCGCCAATGCGTCGCGGATTAGCCCAGTCAAACTTTGAAAGTCCCGAGCAGCGCTGTTCAGGTGTTACTGTCCGGCTTCTTGGTTGCGGCATGTCGCCAGGCTGCCGCAAGTTACGGTAATTGCGCACACGCCTCTATCTGTGTTGTGAGTGTGTCTCTGTGTGTGTGTGTGTGTGTGTGTGTGTGTGTGTGTATAATACGTATGTGTGCATATACGTATTATGTAAGTATGTATGTATGTGTGTGTATGTATGTATGTATGTATGTATGTATGTATGTATGTATGTATGTATGTATGTATGTATGTATGTATGTATGTATGTATGTATGTATGTATGTATGTATGTATGTATGTATGTATGTATGTATGTATGTATGTATGTATGTATGTATGTATGTATGTATGTATGTATGTATGTATGTATGTATGTATGTATGTATGTATGTAGTATATGTATGTATGTATGTATGTATGTATGTATGTATGTATGTATGTATGTAGGTATGTATGTATGAGTGTGTGTAGTATTGTGTGTGTGTGTGTGTTGGGAGTGTGTGAGTGTGTGTGTGAGTGGTGTGAATGATGTGAGTGTGTGAGTGTGTGAATGAGTGAGTGTGTGAGTGTGTGTGAGTGAGTGTGTGAGTGTGTGAGTGAGTGTGTGAGTGAGTGAGTGTGTGAGTGAGTGTGTGAGTGTGTGTGAGTGTGTGAGAGTGTGTGTGAGTGTGTGTGAGTGTGTGATGTGTGAGTGTGTGAGTGAGTGAGTGAGTGAGTGAGTGAGTGTGAGAGAGAGAGAGAGAGAGAGAGAGAGAGAGAGTGAGTGAGTGAGTGAGTGAGTGAGTGAGTGAGTGAGTAGTGAGTGAGTGAGTGAGGTGAGTGAGTGAGAGAGAGAGAGAGTGAGTGAGTGAGTGAGTGAGTGAGTGAGTGAGTGAGTGAGTGAGTGAGTGAGTGAGTGAGTGAGTGAGTGAGTGAGTGAGTGAGTGAGTGAGTGAGTGAGTGAGTGAGTGAGTGAGTGAGTGAGTGAGTGAGGGAGGGAGGGAGGGTGGGTGGGTGGGTGGGTGGGTGGGTGGATGGATGGATGGATGGATGATGGATGGATGTAAACAGAAACATTCTGACTGTATATCCATCTTGCCTTTCCTCTGCATTTGAGTGTCGGCCAGATTCCGAACTCTTGAGGTTAATTTGACACATATATAAGCCGGCTTTATTCACCTCTATGACTGGGTCTGTCTTACCAGTTGACAAATTCATGTGTTTGTATTTCTGCTGGATATCTCGCCCCCAGTATCATTTATGACCTGTCTAGCGGCCTACTCCCTTGTTATTCAGTGTTTTGCTCTCTGTCATCTGCCATTTTCTCTGTATTCCCCAGCCATCTCAGTCTGTTGGCGATCATGATTCCAGTGATCAATGATGATTTAAACAGACTATGAAGTCTTTGAAATTTACAGAAAATAATTTCAGAGAATTATTTAATTTTGGCACTCAGTTAACCCACATGATCTCAAATCCTACGTGTTTAATTGATGGACAACTAAAAAATAAATACATCATTAGGACCGCAGGCCAACATCCGTCAGTTCATAGCTTGAAACTCTGCACTAAAACGAACTGCCAAGGAGAGACAGAAATGAGATGTGTGCCCTTGTAGGTCACTGCTTAGATGATTGGTTGGCTGGTTTAGTTAGTTGATTGATTGATTCATTAATTAGTAGGCTTTTTGATTCGTTTATTGATTGAGTACTTAACTTGTTGGCTGGTCGGTTGACTCATTGATTGATATGGTGAGTGTCTGGAATTTTGACGATATAGTTTTTTTGGGGGGGGGGGGGGGGGGGGGGGGGGGGGGGGGGGGGGGGGGGGGGTTAGCATTTATATATTTATGTATGTATACCTTTGAAACCAGAAGCTAAGCTGCCGCCCCCCCCCCCTCCCATTTTCCTAACTCATTTACTACACCACTACACAGGACAAGACATTCAGCTTCTGCTTATATATATATATATATATATGTGTGTGTGTGTGTGTGTCAGTGTAAGGTCGACTCAGCATTTAATTAGCTACACATAGTCCTGTGAAGTAAAGACGGCCGGCATAATACTGACCAAATGACCCATTTGGTTTAACTTTATATACCCAACCCCCCTGAAGAGGTGGTAAAGAGACCTTTACTGGCACTTTACTTACATGGGTAAGTCAAAGACAAAGGGAAGATGAGGTCTTGTTGGCATGTATCGCTTGACCTGGGGCAGTTCTGGTGACCGGCTTGTTGTGGACCATATCATCCGCCCAGTACCAATTTGCTCAAAACGTCTGGATCAGGGGCCATATACCCGATGCTCTTATGAGGTACTCTGGATTTTTTTGTTTTCGGCATGTCGCCTGGTCTGCCTTTGGTAGCGTCTATAAGAACCCTGAATAGAAACCAACCGGTTTTTTTCTTGGTCTTCCTCAAGCTTTATAACCAAATCTGCCTGTCTTGTTGGCACAAAGCGATGACTGATTGGACTTCATTCATTTTCCCGGAACGCTCGAACCACTTCACTTCCCACCCCCGTGAAGAAGAGGATACAATAAGCAGCAACAGCAAGCAGCGACGGTTTTATGTGTCATTGAACATGATAACTACATTTGCCGAATGTTCTCAAGCCTTGTTGAAACGTTCGGGATAACTTCTTTATTGTTCCTGAACAAGTGAAGGGGAACTTCAGCAATACAGTCTGTTGCTCATCTGGTAGCAACATCATGAAATCAGGCAGAAGCTGAATGTCTTGTCCTGTGTAGTGGTGTAGTAAATGAGTTAGGAAAATGGGAGGGGGGGGGGGGGGCGGTAGCTTAGCTTCTGGTTTCAAAGGTCTTAGTTCGAACCAGCATCGAGGCGATTATTTTTTCAAATCGATCTTGACTTCCAAATCGCCTGAGTCTTAAAAGGGTATCAGATAAAGTACTAGGAAATAAAGGCGACTGCTGTGATGTTGACGACATCCTCCACAAAGTGTCGAAATGTCTATACAAGCCTAACATCAAATTTCCAATGAACCACAGGCATAAAAATGATCCTTCATTTACTTTAATAAGGAAGAATTAATTAGTTTATTTCCCGATTGATTGAATTGTCCTCTCTGATCTGTTACCTAAATGTTTACCATACAATCTTGAGACTGAAAAATCCCAGTCTGGATGGCAGACCGAAAAAGCGGATAAATAATACCCTGCTCTACTCTCAAAGATGTGATAATTAGGTCCCCCGAAACGGCTGCCCCAGTAAAGTGTAACTTGCAATCCTATGCTGGTAAAAACACCTAAGTAGATGGAACTTTCCAGACCGATATTGCCATTGGCTCCGGCATTGACTATACACATCAGCGTTGGCTTCGAATCTTGCCCGGGCAGATGTATATAATAAATAGATACAGTGCTCATTGTTGTACCAGCCTACAAATTTGGCAGCTAGAAAATGTGGTGGGGAAACAAAGGCGATCTGAGTGCTGCTGACCACATCCCTCTTCGTATGCCGATTTTTCTATTAAAATATTTGTCTACTACACTTTTACTGTCAAATTGCGCGTCCAGTGGTGAAGCTTTTATGCAATTTT